CCCTCTCTCTCTGCCTGCTGCTCTGCCTGCTTGTGATCTCTCTCTGTGACATAAATAAACAAAATCTTTAAAAAAAATGGCTATCTTTATCCACCACTATGAGTTAATTCCTCTATAATCTTGGTGTAGAAAAAGGCTTGCTGTTACTTAAAATACTGAAGCAGTAAAACAAAAGACTGATAAATTTCACTAAAATAAATTCTTAGATAATAAAAAATCCTATAAATAAAAGTTTGTCAAGAAGAAACTGGGAGAAAATATTCACAATATATACCACATAAAAAGGACAATTTTTTTTTTAAGATTTTATTTATTTATTTGACAGAGACTCAATCCCAGGACCCTGAGATCATGACCTGAGCCGAAGGCAGCAGCTTAACCCACTGAGCCACCCAGGCGCCCAAAAAGGACAATATTTTTTTTTTTTTAAAGATTTTATTTATTTGTTAGAAAGAGAGAGACAGAGCGCAAGCACAGGCAGACAGAGTGGCAGGCTAGAGGGAGAGGGAGAAGCAGGCTCCCTGCCGAGCAAGGAGCCTGATGTGGGACTCGATCCCAGGATGCTGGGATCATGACCTGAGCCGAAGGCAGCCGCTTAACCAACTGAGCCACCCAGGCGTCCCAAGGACAATATTTTTAATATTTAAACAGCTCTTTAAATTTGAGGGACAAAAGGTTTTCTGGTTGTGTCACCATGTGGTGAGTTCTTGTCTACATTGGCAGCTGTGTAGTCCAAGGGCCTTCTGCAGTCTCTGCAGGTCCTTGGACACAAGCAGATGGCCAGAGCTCTGGTTGCAGATGGGGCAGCAGCCTTATCCAGGTGAATGGGCAGCCCCTGGAGATGATCCAGCAGTGCACACAGCAGTACAAGTTTCTGGAATCTGTTCTGCTTCTGGGCAGGGAATGATTTCTTGGGGTGGGCATCTGAACTCTGTGAAGGGTAGTGGTCAGATGACCCAGATTTGCACAATCTGCTAGCACAACTCCAAAGACCTGGGGTCCTTATTATCAGAAATACATTGATGAGACTTCCAAGAAGGAGCTCAAAGCCATTTTCATTCAGTATGACCAAACCCTGCTGGGAGAAGCTGATCCCTGTCTCAGTGACTTCAAAAAGTTTGGGGGCCCTGGTGCTCATACTTGCTACCAGAAATTCTATTGATAAGTCCGTCATGAAGCCTGGAGTTCACCTTGATAATAAACAGTGGTTTTGAGATTTTCAAAACAAAAAATTTGAGGGCAAAGTTACAAAAGTCTGATATAATGGGAATCGGATATGAAGAGACAACTCACAAAAAAATAAGACACAGTAATGGCCTAAAATATATGGGGAAAAAATGCAAATTAAAATAGTACCTATTAATGGCAAAAACTTTAAAATATGACAATGTACTTTGTTGGTGAAGCTGTGGAGAAATGGCACTCTCATACATTGCTGGTGAAAATGTGAATTGTTATAGCCCTTCCAAAGGGAAATGTGGCAATACTTAAAAATATTGTATATGGGGGCACCTGGGTGGCTCAGTGGGTTAAGCCTCTGCCTTCAGCTCAGGTCATGGTCTCAGGGTCCTGGGATCGAGCCTCGAATTGGGCTCTCTGCTCAGCAGGGAGCCTGCTTCCCCCTACCTCTCTGCCTGCCTCTCTGCCTATTTGCGATCTCTCTCTCCCCGTCAAATAAATAAAATCTTTAAAAAAAATACTATATATATATATATATATATATATATATATATATATATATTTACTTTTTGACCCAGCAAAACCTCTTCTGGGACTCTACCATTTAGATACACCTCTAACAATATAAAAATACATACACACAGATATTCACTACCGCAGTGTAATACAATGTAATTGCGAAATATTGGAAACTGTTTAAATGTCCATACATAGAAAAGTGATTAAAATGTGATATATCCATTCAGTAGAGTAATGGGGCTGTGTTGAAAAAGAAAGAATGAGAATGGTCTGTATCAACAAATATGGAGTGTTTCTGAGATAATATACTGTTAAATGACAAAAATAAAACACAAGAGTATAGTATATGGTCTTCTGTGTAAGAAAGAAAGAGATATGAGACAGTACATGTGTATCTCTTGTTTTTGTAGAATCAATATTGGGAGGATAAAATGGAAACCAAAGTGATTATTGGTAATCTACAGGGGGTAGGTGGGAAAGGAGTGCCAAAAAGTGAGGATATGGGAACTAGTGAGGAAGGAGTGACATTAGAGGGGATGGGGAAGAAAAGAACTTTATTCCAAGTTGTTTCAGAAAATAACATCTTGATTGGATACTGTAATGGTAAAGATAAAAAGAATTGCACATTAATGCTGTAATATAGTCAGTAAATGTATTTGTCACAAGGGCATAGATGAACAATTCTGTGTGTACTCTAACTGAACAAATAGGCAAGTATGTTTTAGACAACAAAAACTGGGTTTCTCACAGATAGAAAAAGGAGAAGGCTAAAATGCTTTCTAAAATGAACTCTGGTGGGTTGGTTTGGAATCTGAGATATTATATGTATTGGTTACTATGTGTGTTTCTTAGCTGTTTCCACTGAGAGTGACTAATGAACAAACCTAGGTTCCAGTTTTTTATTTCAGATTCTCCATTTCTTAGAGAAGTGGTTGGTAAAGGTGCCTGGAACATCTTGATGTATGCCAGGTAACAAAAGGCTTACAGAAAAAAAATGGGGGTTAGTGTGAAAGAACTTGAGAACCATACTGAAAGAGTTCTAATGGCCAGAGCTGGAGCAATTTTAGCAAAAGAAATAATGAAATCATTGGATTATAACCCATGGAATAATAAAGTAAATATCCATGAGTCCATACTGATATAGATATAAATGGGGAAATGAACAGTTTTCACTTATAGTAAATTCCAGTTAATAACTGTGGAAGGTTGGATGGATTGAGGGAAGTAGAAAATAAGCATTAGCTAAACACAGTAATAATTGTTGCAGACAAGATCCACCAATTGATTCTAAAATTAGTGAGTGAAAATTTGAGGAAAAGTATAGATTCGAAGTATGTTCTCCAAGATCTTCATTAATCACAAAGACAAAGATAGTAATTTTAATGGGATGAAGCCTGCCAAAATTTATCTTAGTTAGTGATCAAGGTGAACATCACAATAACAAAACATATTCACATCTTGAAACCCATGATAAAGGATGCATCATTTCTTTGTATTCTTGCCAAAAATGTATAACCTTAGTTCAGTCATTAGAAAACATTAGCCAAACCCAAATGAAATGTATTTGACAAGGTAAAGCAATCAGTACTCTTCAAGAGTCAAGGTCATGAAAATTAGGGAATACCAAGGCATTGTCAGAGATTGGAGGAAACTAAGGAAATGTGACAACTAAATATAATGTGGGAGTTTTTTTCTTTTACAATGGCCTGTTCTTGCTTAGTGAAATCTATTTCTTTGTTTTCTCTTTGAACATTAAAGGCATGCTTTAAAATGTCATACTTTTTTCTTAAAATGTCTCTGTTTCAGATTGTTCCATTATTTGTATGTAGTTCTGAGATATGAATTCTGTTAACGTGCCCCTTCACCACTGTGGGTTTTTTTTTACTGTTTCCTACTTTTTTGCACTTGGGAAATTCTCTTTTGCTTTTGGATTTATCTCTGTATTAAAACAAGTTTTGTTTTTTGGTTATATCTCAAGTAGTGTGTTGGAAGTGGAAGAGGTGGCTTCTTGCATTAATTAAACCTACTAATATAGTAGTATATGATGGGAAACCTCTCTCTATTCCTGTTCCCTTTATAAATAATAGGGTAATTGCTTTCAGTGACTTAGGGGCTAAAATAAAGCTGCTCACCTTCCTAATATTTATCTTACAATTGCTATATATATATATAGATAGATAGATCTAGATCTAGATCTATCTATCTATCTATCTATCTAGAGATATAGATAGAGATATATATATCTATTTGTAACAATATATTATGGTTGAGGTCAGAATTTTCTTTTCTGCTTTTGTAAAGAAGATTATCAACTTATTTCAGACAGTTTAGAACTCAAGTGGTGGTAGAAATAGAATTCTTTTCCACTTTATTGTCTTGGAAGCATAGGGGAGAAAAAAGGCAGAAAAGTTACTATTGGAGTAATATATACTTAAAAGGGGCTAGAATTAAAGCTGCTGAAAAGAAAAACTTCCCCTTCCTACCCCAAGATTTCTCCCAAACATTGTCCAGATTGGAATTTTGCTGAATTAATCCCTCTAACTCTCTCCTTCTCCTTTTTAACCTTTGGTAGGTTTAGGGCACATGTATGTTATGGTTGTAGTTTTTAAAAAGTCCACTGGATAGTGGACCCTAGGGCCATTAGAATACATGAATGCCAGGAGAAAATGGAACACAGTTCTTTCATATACCTGAAATATTATTTTCATTCATTTCCACCAAAATTAACTATGAAGCCCAAAAAAGTGAACTAGGCAAAAGAAGAAAAATTCCATAGTAAATAAAGATTTAGAAAATATAAAGAACTTGTGAAGTAGCAGTCATTCAGATCATGTGAAATGGGGGAAAGGAAAACCTATGAATACTTCTGTCAGAAAACATCAGAAGCAGGTATTTATCAACCCGTTATGGGAGAAGTTTTTTCCAAGCATTAAATTGATCTGAGATCTTAATTTGATAGTACTGAAAAAATTGTGTGGCAGGCCTAAGTTCCTAGATTTAAAAGCAGAACTCGTATTTTAGTTCAGAAGTATTTCTTTTATGGTGATGTTTATAAAATCACTGGAAATTGTATTCCTACTGTAAAGTCATCTGCCTGATATAAACTCATGGCAGCAGAACACAGTGATGAAAACATGTATCCTTCAGATGAAATTGCTGATATTTGACTAGTTGAAACTTGACCATGATTGATAAAGTTGATGTAAGGTCTATTTTCAGTTGTGTTGTTTAGTATTCATAATGATATTATGGTCTTCAGTTTTCTTTGATGGCTGAATTTTTATTATTTATTTCCTCCACAGAAGTGAACAGTACCATATCTTTGAAAGATTTGCGAATACTATTTTTATATGAATTTAAACTAGGACACAGTGCAGCCACAGCAAGTAGAAACATCAATTCTGTCTTTGGAAAAGGCTCTGTTAGTGAAAGGACTATCCGGTGGTGGTTCGAAAAATTTCGTTCTGGGGATCTGAGTCTGAAAAATGAGCCTCGAGGGAGACCCAAATCTGTTTTAAATGAAGATCAATTGAGAGCCATGGTGGAAGCTAATCCCAAAACAGCAATTCGAGGCCTCGCAGCAGACTTAGGAGTTTCTGCTACAACAATTTCTCGACACCTGGCTGCAATAGGAAAGGTGAAAAAGTTGGACAAATGGGTAGGTAACACCAACTGATGGATGATCACAAACTGAGATGATTAGAGATGTGCTCATACCTTAAGATTTTAAAGAGCAGAGACCTATTTTAGAGAATATCATAAACTTTGACAAAAAATGAAAGTGGTCTGGATGATGGTTGGATGTTGGAGAAGTTACCAAGTGTGTTAAAACCATCATTGCAACCAAAAAGAAGGTTCTGGTAACTGTATGGTGGTCTGCAAAGAGAGTATTTCATTTCTTTTAACTCAGGCAAAACTAACAGTAGCATCTTATTGTAAAGAAGTTGAAATTATGTATCATTTGTCATCATTTGAAACTCCAAGAAACAGAGCATTCTCTAAATTAGAGAACAGTAATGGAAGGATTTGAATAAATTTTAACAATGCTGAATTTTAAATATATTTGGAGAAATTTATCATTGGGGGAAAGCAGTTAATGCTAATAGTGTGTATTTTGGTTGAATAAAACTTTTCTTTTTCTGAAAAACACAACATTTTCATTTTTATATAAAGGCAGTTTCATATGGCTCAACTTAATACCTTCCCAGACCCTGGCAGAACATGAAGACTGAAAGATACCTAATATACTGGAAAACTACAGGCTGCCCCTGAGTTTTGAGCTTCTTCATTGGAGGAATGTGGAACAACCCAGAGTGCATGTGTGTGTGAAAGATGCTTAGGACTCAGCCATGCAAAAATCTGGGTAAAGAGGATTTTAGGGGAATAAGCAAAAGCTCTCAGGCTTTCGGAAGATATTTTTTGAATAAAGAAGTGAAAGCATGTTTCTGATACAAGAGCCGTGCACACAGAAGACATGGCATACTGGTGCTTTTGAGTGATAAGTATTATCACTGTCACACAAAGCCAGTCATTCGTCCATGATTCTTTATTTAAAAAAAAAAATGTAAGTGGCCTATCAGAGACCATAATTAATGGCCTTTTTATGATTATGTAGCTAGATTGCAGTTCTGGCATTCATGGATTAAGTTGGGGGTAAAGATACTGGGATGGTTCTCTTCCTGCTTCTCTCCCTTCTGATGATCTACTGTGTCTAATCTGTGAAGGATAGCTAAGGAATCCTAAAAGCTAAGAGGTGAGAAAAAGGCATCTGGAATGGATTTTACTTGAGAGACATAGAGGGAAGGAGGGAGGGCAAGGAATGGAGGGAAAGATGGAATGGAAATCCCCTAAAGTAGAATTTGACTGTGAGCCAAAGAATTAAAGACCATGGGATGCATTATTGCAAATTAAAAAAAAAAAAAAAGATGTCCCTTCCTTTGGGTAGAAGCAGCCCAAGTACTATGACACAAGGCTTTGTGAGCAGAGTGTTTTGTCTTTCAGCTCTAATTTACTCCCCTGGCTGGGTGCCCTGGTCTGGAGTCACCTGCTGATTTTACTGCTCCATCCTTGGGTTGTCAAGGAATCTAGTCAATGTTTTTGTGAATTCCTTCTCAAGAATGAAGAATGAATCAAGAATGAAGTCTGAGACTTAGCTCAGACTGATAGGGTAACAAGGCTAAAACCAGAGGTGTGGGAAGGACTTTATATGAAAGTCAGCTAGCTCAAGGGTGATGTCAAATGGTCACAGAAGGTTGGCCAATGTGGAAGAAAGTGGTGTTGTATAGTTACTTTGTCTGGGTAGTAGTTGCTTTGTGGCCATCCATCCTTCCCTCACTTCTCAGACCTCTCATTAGACTTCCAGAGCTGGATGATGGACTTTGGTTTAAAATAGTCAGCAGTGGGGCACCTGGGTGGCTTAGTGGGTTAAAGCCTTTGCCTTAAGCTCGGGTCATGATCCCAGGGTCCTGGGATCTAGCCCCGCATTGGGCTCTCTGCTCAGCAGGGAGCCTGCTTCCTCCTCTCTCTCTGCCTGCTTTTCTGCCTACTTGTGATCTCTGTCTGTCAAATAAATAAAATCTTAAAAAAAAAAAAAAGGTCAGCAGATATCCCTGTTCACTCCAAATGAGTGGTTTCTTCCAAGAAGAACCAGTGAAATGTGATGAGAGAGGGAAAGGAGCAGTTATAGGATGTTGAATTATCCTATCAATTATCCTTACCCCCTCCAACAAGGGGTGTAGACTTGAGAGGCAGAAATGAACCCTTGTTCATTGTGAGCAAACACATGGAATGAGTTGTGCCTGAACTACTATTAGTGTATTTTGGTTATGTGAGATAGTAAATACCCTTTTAGCGCTCCAAAAACAAAGCTTTCAAAAGCTCCTTGGTTGAGTGTTGAAAGAAAGGAGTGGAGGTGGAGGTTGCTACATCTCATCTTCCCACCATGTCCCTGAGGTAGCTTGGGTCCTAACTGCAAAAGGAGTAAGAAGTGGCAGAGCACCTGGGTGGCTCAGTGAGGTAAGCCTCTGTTTTTGGCTCAGGTCATGATCCTAGGGTCCTGGGATGGAGCCCCAAGTCAGGCTCTCTGCTCCGCGGGGAGCCTGCTTCCCTTTCTCTCTGCCCTTCTGCCTCTCTGCCTACTTGTGATCTCTGTCTGTCAAATAAATAAATTAACAACAACCAAAAAAAGGAGTAAGTAGTGGCTTTCAGGGGCATCTAGCTGGCTCAGTCAGTAAAGCATGCAACTCTTGATCTTGTTGTAATGAGTTAGAGCCCCATACTGGGGTAGAGTTTACTTAAAAACAAAACAAAAAAGTGACTTTGAATTTTGAATTTTGGTTTATTATATACATAATAGCTGTTATTAAAGAACTTCCTGCCTTGATCTAATTGCTTAAGTGAGACTAGAGCACCTATAGCCACTTTAATGGTATGCGTGAAAGATCTTGGGCACAGAGATAGCGTCCAAAGCCAGTGGAAAGTGGACTCTTCTAGGACCTGTCAGTGTGTTGGACTCTGTCTTCCTCTTTCTGTTGGTGCTTTTGCCACAGTAGCCTCCTTTCACTTCCTTTGACCTCAGTTAATTTGTTCATGCTGCTTACTGGTCTTCATGTCATTAACTCTGCCTGTCACACACATTTCCTCCAGGATGTCTGACCTGATTACCCCACCATACCGTAGGTCAGGTCCTCTTGTCATGGCCTTAGGACTCCAGGATGGTTCCTTCATAACTATAATCACAGTAGTTTTATGTTTATTTGTGTGATAGTATGTGTTTGTCATCTTCTGTGCTAGATTATAAAATTCACAACAGCGGGGACTTTTTTGCTCACAAGATCATACCCCTATCAAGAGCACAAGGTCCAGCACATGGTAAGTACCTAATAAATGTTTGTTAAATGAATGAATAAGTGTAAGGGCCAGTCTCATCCACTTTGTAGAAACCCGTTGTTTTGGTATCAGTTTAAGTAAGGAATATGTTGATAGCAGATCATTGAAAACCTAACGAACAGTGGCTTAAATAAGTAGATTTTGTTTACTGTAACTTACAAAAATTTTCAGACATACAAAATACCCAAATTTTACAGTGAACACCTGTATGCCAGTCACCTAGATTGTACCATTTGACATTTTACTCTGCTTTGTCACTTATCTACTCATGTAGCTATCCTTTTTTAAAAATGCACTGTAATGTAAAGTAGTAGGCATTAGCATATTTCACCCTAAATACTTCAACATACCTATCACTACCTAGAGTTCAATATTGCCTTCAGGCTCTTGTTCTTGTAAATTTAAATTTGATAAAATGTCCAAATCTTAATTGTACTGTTTAGTATGTTTTGATAAATGCAAATATTTGTGTAACACAAACCCCTATGAAGATACAGACTATTACTGTCAGCCCAGAAAGTTCTTTCATACCTTTTCATTTTATCCCCACTCTTATCCCTAAAGGCAAACACTGCTCTGATTTTTTTCTACCATGAAATAGTTTTGGCTGTTCTAGAACTAAACATAAATGGAATTGTATAGTATGTGCTCTTTTGTGTAAGGCTTCTTTTACTAAGCATCATGTTTTTGAAATTAATCCATTTTGTTGTATGTACCAATATTTCATTCCTTTTAAAAGCTGACTAGTATTCCATGAAATGAATATAACAATTTTTCTATTTATCTGTTTGAAACATTTGTGGAATTTTTTTTCACAGTTTGAGCTTATTATAAATAAAGCTGTTGTGAATATTCTTGCACAGGTCTTTTTGTGGACATTTGTTTTCATTTCTCTTGGATAAATACCTAAGATTGTCAATACCGGGTCATAGGCTATGTGTATATTTAGTTTTCTAGACCTTTTCCCAAAGAGATTACACCATTTTATACCTGCCCCCCCCCCAACATTTGATGTTATTCTTCTTATCTATTCTGGTGGGGGTGGAGCTGTGTCTTATTTTGAACTATTTTCCCTCTTTCACATTATAAGGAATCTAGGGAGACAGGCCATAACTGGGGTAGTTACTTAACAATGCAGTCAGGGACCCAGGCACTTCCTAGCTTTTTTTTTTTTTTTTTAAGATTTTATTTATTTACTTGACAGAGATCACAAGTAGGCAGAGAGAGAGAGAGGGAAGCAGGCTCCCTGCTGAGCAGAGAGCCCGATGCGGGACTCGATCCCAGGATCCTGGGATCATGACCTGAGCCAAAGGCAGAGGCTTTAACCTACTGAGCCACCCAGGTGCCCCACTTCCTAGCTTTTTGTTAATCCTTAGTGGATTGATCATAGTTCCATGCATGACATCTGGGGTAGACAGCCCTGCCTCTTGGTATTCTTGCCCTTGTGTAATCTCCTCTGAGTGTGGGCTTTAGTGATTAGCTTTTTTTTTTTTTTTTTAAGATTTATTTGAGGGCACCTGGGTGGCTCACTGGGTTAAGCCTCTTCCTTTGGCTCAGGTCATGATCTTGGGGTCCTGGGATTGAGCCCTGCTTCAGGTTCTCTGCTCAGCAGGGAACCTGCTTCCCCCTCCCTTTCTGCCTACTTGTGATCTGTCTCTTTCTGTCAGATAAGTACATAAAATCTTTTGAAAAAACAAAACAAGATTTATTTGAGAGAGCGTGCAAGCATATGCGTGCAAGGGGGTGTGTCAAGGCAGAGGGAAGGATATCCTCAAACAGACTTCCTGCAGAGCACGGAGCCTGACTCCCGTGGGGGGTGGGGGGATCAAATACCTAAGCCAAAATCAAAAGTTGGACTCTTAACTGCCTGAGCCACCCAGGCACCTCTAGCTTCTAATGGAATATAGCAGAAGTAAGGGGATGCCACTTCTGAGATTAAGTTATAAAAAGAATGTGGCTTCTTTCATGCACGTTCTTTCTCATTCTTTTTTCTTTTCTTTTTTTTTTTAAGATTTTATTTATTTGACAGAGTTCACAAGTAGACAGAGAAACAGGCAGAGAGAAAGGGGGAAGCAGGCTCCCTGCTGAGCAGAGAGCTGGATGTGGGGCTCCATCCCAGGACCCTGAGATCATGATCTGAGCCAAAGGCAGAGGCTTAACCCA